CGGTTCAGGCTGGTGGTGGTGGTGTCATGGTGTGGGGAATATTTTCCTGGCACTCTGGGCCCCTTGGTACCAATTGAGCATTGTTGCAACGCCACAGCCTACCTGAGTATTGTTGCTGACCATGTCCATCCCTTTATGACCACAATGTACCCAACTTCTGATGGCTACTTTCAGCAGGATAATGCGCCATGTCATAAAGCTGGAATCATCTCAGACTGGTTTCTTGAACATGTCAATGAGTTCACTGTACTCAAATGGCGTCCACAGTCACCAGATCTCAATCCAATAGAGCATCTTTAGGATGAGGAGGAACGGGAGATTCGCATCATGGATGTGCAGCCGACAAATCTGCGGCAACTGTGTGATGCCATCATGTCAATATGGACCAAACTCCCTGAGGAATGCACCTTTTTGAATCTATGCCACGAAGAATTGAGGCAGTTCTGAAGGCAAAAGGGATCCAACCCGTTACTAGCATGGGGTACCTAATAAAGTGGCCGGTGAGTGTATATATATATATATATGTATATATACATATACACATATACGCTTACACATACCCATACATAGAGATAAAAAAATAATAAATAAATAAATAAAAATAAAATAAATAATCAGTTTTACATACATATATACATCCAGATATGTACGCATACTTAATAATTGTCTGAATTGTCTTTTATTCAGTGTCATCATTCTGTGTTCTTCAGGACAGAAAATAAATGAATTATCCAGAACCTTAAGTAAATTTTAGCCATCTTAGTCAGACTTTCCTGATATTAGCTACTACGAATCTTTCAGCTTAAGCCATAGCTTGCAGAGAGGTCGCAAAAGCTTAACATGATGTCGTGGTACAAATATATCAGTCAGTAAGTCTTACAATTTAAACAAGAGTCAGAAACGTGTGCTATTAGAAATAGAATTTAATTAATTAAAGCAGAATTCATCTATTTTGAAAATCTACATTGATGTTCTAAAGAATTCAGTTTATCTATTTTCACTGTCAGCTCTAGAAATTAATTTTTTGTGTGTGTTAGACATCCGATTCAAGTGGTCTCAATAAATAAGCATGAGACACACATTTTCCCAACTTCACGTGCCACACATGACTTTCCTTAAGCTGAAAAATAAAGAAGCCCATTCTGAACGGGTGATCCGTTCACTTGACTGTACGTTCAGAGCTTAGTCTAAGCACAGCCTTCCCCTTCTGCTGAGCTGTTTTATCCTTTCTGTTAAAGCTCAATGCGCCTCATGCCTGCTGGGATTGCATCTAGCGACATGCAAGATGTTCACATACCAAAGTAGATATAAATGAAAAAGATTTTCAGGTAAAAAAGTATAAACTTGATAATATATTGGTTGGTGATTAATAAGGAGTATTTCAAGCAAATTGCAGCCTCTTTTTAAACCTTAATCAGTAGCAACAGGTGTTAGTGTTGGAGTCATTTCAGGGTCAATAGACTCTAATTTCCCTGTACCAACTGGAAAATGAACAGGCGCAAATTCCATATTTTCCTTTAGAAAATGTTCCAGTCACAGTCATGGGGGCCGCCATTTATGTTGGTTTTCTGCTAATAACAAATCAAATCATACTTTATTTATATAGCACTTTTCAACAACACCAGGAAGACCAAAGTGCTTCACAGAAAAATAAAAATTTGCACACAAAAAAAATCATGATCATAAAAACTTGTGTCCCAAGTATTAAAAGCCAGTTTTAAAAAAAAATAGTCTTTAGTCTGGACTTAAAAAGGTTCAGATCAATTGTTGTTCTACAGTTTAGGAACGATTGCCCCACTGTTTATACCGGGACCTAGGGACGTCCAGGAGTGTCCTGCAGAGAGCACTTTGCATTCAGAGGGGAGAGTTAAAGATGGTATGGCGGGTTCATACCAAATGGAAACCTGTGACAAGAAACGCAAGTGTCATGTGCATTTTGCCAGAAATCCACCTGCTGAATAGAGTGAATTTGCTCACTGTTCAGATTTGCTGTGGGCGAAAGGCTCCACTACATCATTTCATCTACTGGTTGTTGGTTTCAAGATGGCAGACCTGGATTTTACAGAGTTTCATTTACATTGGAGAGCTGAAGAAGGCCGCTACCGTAGAGCAGGGAATATTAGCCCGAACCCGACGGGACCCGAGAGGTCCTGCCGGGTTCGCGCGGGTTCGGGCTGTACTTTTTATTATTTCATTCGGGCCGGGCCGGGCTCGGGCTTTAAACCGTTATATGCGCGGCAAATAAATGATCATGTGATAACGTTCGATCTATACGCGATGAATGCAAATGAATGCAAAATGGATGTTACAGAAGTGAAACGGAGATTAGCCCTTAATGCGCACAATTGAAAAATGTCGGGCTGCAAACGGGTCGGGCTCTACGAAGCTGTCAATCATAACGGGCCGGGTCGGGCACGGGCCTGGTTCTTTCGGACTCGGGTCGGTTTCGGGCTGACTTTCAAGGCCCGTTTCATGCTCTACGCTACCGTCCCTCGGTCCAACAGATCATCCTAAATGGTCCCAGTTTGGTGAGTTCAAGAGCTACAGCTCAATCACTGCCGACTTTTACAGAGCTTAAGGTTGGGTGAGACAGTGTTCTGGATCTCAGACAGGAGCAACTGAAAATCAGACCATTAACCCCAGCAGAGAAAGCACCAGAACTGGGACAAGGCCATTGGTTGTGCACCCCTCAGGAGCTAGGGCATCACAGCAGGAGATTGAAGAGGACATCGGTAGATCAGAGAAGTCCTCGGGGTATAGAGCACCAGAACAGGGAGGGGAAGCAATGGTTGGCCAGTGTCTTCACTGGAGCTAAGAGAGAACGACGAATGGTGTGATGTACGATTCTAGGCAACTATGACAGCACCGGGAGGAGGCCAGGGTAACGACTCAGGACACTTTGGAGGGACTATGTCTTTTAGCCAATTTGGGAGTTCCTCTGGCCCTCTGGCGGAGTTCGAGTACGAGTGTGTGTGACAGACGTCCCTTGGATATTTATCAATATATGGAATAAATTGGATCCCATATTGGTTAACCATGAGACTTGGCATTTAACTGCCAAATAAATAATGCTTCTGTATTTCACAAGATCTGCGTCTCTGGCAGTGGCAAGGTCAGCAGTCCATTGTAGGGCAATGCAGAAACATACAACCATGCACCCAGACTCACACTGAAGGGCGCTCTAGGGACACCAAGGAACCCAACTGCTATACTCCTGGACTGTGGGAGGAAGCCGGAGTACAAAGAAAGAACATATGCATGAACATATGGAGGACATGCAAAGAAAGAAAAATCCCAGGTCAACAGAAAGCAGTCAAAAACGATTTCATTTCATTAAAATGTGGCTGCTGGCATCCTGTTAAAACTTTAGACCTTCACCATCATATAGAACATTATGGCAAATATACAGTTTTGAAATACACTTTATTGTTAATCATAACTGCCCTTACACATGTAAGAAACCCTCTGCTATATGTGGTATGCCTGAAACACCAATAATTGGAGCAGAACAGGTGCATGTTGTACTTATTTAAAATCATCGTTGCACATGCATAAACTTGGTATACTTCTCTTTAGAAAGATTCATTTTTTCTAATATCATCTTTAATTTCTCACTTTCTTTATTTAAAGTTGTAGAGAAGTCATATTTAAATGTCAAGTCATTCTGGCTTAAACATGTATATAAATGTACTCTTTATCAGACAATATTGTCTCAAAAGCTAGAAAATTTCAATTTTTGAAGAAAGCCTGTCTTAAAACCTGTTTTCCCCCTTTATTTTATGCAGGCCAGTTAGTTATACGTCAGCCTGAACACATAAATTTGGCCAATCTGTGTCTTCGGCAGGTGTAGAGCTAACAGAACTGGCTGTGTTGTGAGGCAAGGGCTCATGTAAGCCTTCTACACCAAACCAAGCTTCTGCCGCCCTGGCGTCCTCTTCCACAGCAACTTAGTCCCCGTTTTTCTCCTTTAGATAAAAAATGTATGATGGAGGAGACTCATCCACAACCTGCGACACAAAACTCTCCTCCTCTTGCATGTTTCCTCTGTCCATAGCGTTCCTTGACAGTGTCGTTTCTAAGTCACCAATTTAGTGCTACTTGGTCCCAATGGAATTTCCCATTGGGAACCTACTAGCACTAAGTTGCTAACTGGTTAGCAAGATACTTCCGACAAACCGGCTACAATCAAACTTGATTGCGAACCTTCCGCCACAACAATCTCGCCCCCTAGATACACGACCAATCACATTCACTTTATTCACTCGTGTAAAGTCAGGCACCATTTGGGAAAATTTAGAAATGCAACGGTTGGTACAGCCGTTTCATATGACTTTAAACATTAAAAGTGAAATTAAATTAGAAGGTTTTGATCAATTTGATCAAGAACCTCTGTGAAAAGCTCGTTTTACTCAGACAGCAGCTCATTCTCTCTGTCTAAGCTGAGCAGTTTAACATGCAGCAGATTAGACACTAACTACAAATAAGCTCTTTAGAAAACCCTTCTCATAAAGAATGCAAGCCATGCTTCTTAATGTCGCCACAGTGGGACATTGGGATTGTGTACAGCACCTTTTAAGCTGTGACCTTTGAGTTGACATTTAGAACATCTGAAAACACAACAGCACAACTATTGTATGGTAACCATAACTCTGTTAGGCAGCATTAGAGGTTAGTATGTGGGGGGCTGTAACAAAGATAAAACCTTTTTGCTGGGTTTTGTTTGGGACACCCCACTCTGAGCTGGTTGAATACAGAGCACACAAATCTTCAAGGAGAAAAATCAACACTTGATGTACTGTACAACAAGCTACTCTCAAACAATAAAAATCCACGGGCGGTCTTACATCAACAAGTGCTTCACACCCCCACATGATCACATGATGGTAGCACTCATCCCAGGAAATCACTGGATAGTCATAAGCCCTGCTGCTCCTTTGTTGCTATCACAGGACTAATTCAAAGCAGATTTTATATGTGGGCTGTTGAGAGGACAAACTCACTTGTATTGAGCCTGGAAATGCTCCTGGACAAAGCTGTGCTGGATCCTGGGCTGCTGGGACTGGATCGGGTCAGGACACGACCCCTTCTCTGCTCCACCGGGACTCTGCAGCACAGAGGAGTTTACCATAAAAAACACAGATGAGGTTGCGTTCTTGAACAGTTTTCTGATGTATTGTTAAAACCTAACTGATATGTTTTTTTATAAATAACATTTTGATGTTGATGTATGGATTTAAATCTTAGGAAATAAAGCTGATATTAATCTAAATTTGCATTGAGAGGAGACAAAGAACTCAGCATTCACAACTTCACCCTCCACCCCGTCTGTTCTCTTTTATCTATAAACCTACAACAGAGAGGCTGGCCTTGGATGGAGATAAAAGAAGAAAAAAAATGACTGATTACTGAAAGACTTGAAAGGTCGTAAAACAATGTGTGGGATAGCGTACAGTACAGACTATAGAGCAGTGATTACAAGGTTTTCCTTATCACTGCACTTATGGCACAGTGCAAACAAAGCCTCACAAAATATTACCTTTTTTAACTTTTTGTCACTTAACAATAACAAACTTTGCATTTAAGTTTAAAGGTTGAATATAATTATTTTTCTCATACATGTTAACACAATCCCATACAATGAGTTTTCCTCTTAGCCACAACTGGCTCTATAGGCATTAGTCAGTTCATGAGAGATAAGGGTATTCTATAGGCTTGAGTGTACGTGCATTCTGCTTCACCTGGCCTGTTTTCATAAACCTTTTTTTGTCCATTTAGTGGAATTGCATCGCATTACAAATTTAAATCAGCATACCAAATTTTGCAAAAACGTTTTTTACATTTGCTCGAGGTGGTTTTTGACTTTTTTTGAATCTGCTGTTGATGTCAGCTTATGATGACATTTGCAAGGCCTCAATAATTCCCTCCAGTGAATGGAAACACATCTCTTTTTTTAGGCTTTGAAAACGTTTGTTCAATATTTGCCTCATATTTGGATAGAAACACATCTATAGGGGAGCGGTGGCCGAGTGGTTAGGGCATTCTGCTTCACCAGCTACCTATATTAAGCCTCTTGTCCATTTTTTATGCACCCAGTGAATCTGCGTTAAAAGATGTTTTACTCTTAATCTCCCACCATGCCCATCTTAAGGCTGGTTTATACTCAGACTCTAGGTTGTATGCGTGTGTGCCGCAGTGAACGCAGATATGCCCCCCCCCCTTCCGCACCTCTCCAAAATTGTAGGTGACCTCAGAAAGCGCCTCAGACAGGAGGCATCTGATTGGTCAAATCTACATCCGCTCTACACAATGCATATTTTCTGCTTGGTATCTTAGCGGCTTGTTTTGTTTGTTTTGTTGACCGCCATTGTGGAAAACAACTCGTGAAGTTGCACTAGCTAGAAGAGCGAGGTGCGTGAGAACGCTGGGACCATTTTTCCACCTGGATCCCCGCTCTTTTTCACCCTCATGTCCCTCCGTTGTCACATAAACTTGCCCCCACTTCCTCACCACCTCGGCCGTATCTAGACCCACAGCTAGTTCGTGATTGTACCTCTTGCGTTGTGGCGTGGAATAACATAGCGCAGACCACGCCTCAAAATTGGGCATAAATCAAAAATATCTGCAACAAGCTCACTGCGACACACTGCTGCGGGAGGATGACCAGCTCTTTACACCAATGCTCTGCTCTGTTTTGATGCTCACTTTCTCACAGTCTCACCTGTTCTCTGACAAACTTCTCTGGACAACGACCAATTAATCACCTCTGAGCCAATCTGAATTTGTAAACAGACTTTTGCTTTAACTTGAATGTACCCTGCTTGTTCCTTATATCCTGGGCTGTTCTGAGCCAATATGTCAAAGACTATTGACTTTGATGCCCCACTTTGTTGCCTGCAGTGATGTCATCTCCTTCATTATCTTGAGAGTCAAGGCACAGACCGTCAGGATAAAGCCTTGATTCTGAAAAGGCTAGAGAGTTTCCAATTGAGTTTCTTCTAAAAAAAAATATTGAGATTTTGGGTTGACAGTTTTGTGTATTACAGGAGATGCTTTCTTTCTCATGCTAAGTGGCATTTAAGATACAAGCACTATACTTCTCCTGGGTGGATTTGCTATGTCCTGGAGACAATTATGATGCTGGAACCAGCACCAGAAAAAGAAAACAAAAATAATAAACTTCAATTAACCTGAGATTATGGTGGGAGTTAAATTCTGTTTTCTTTTCACAGAGACGGGTAATTATAGGCTTGAGTTGCACAAATACAAACCATGCCTAAGCAAGGCAGCATGACAAATAGGCTTAAAAAAAAAAAAAAAAGCAACAAGAGTTATAAAACTAAAAAGATCTTGCCAGGCCATTTCACGTAGTGTCACAAATCATGCAAATTATTGATTATTTGTTTTTCTTCCTTCCCCTAGAAGTGTATAACCCCCCAAGAGAGAAGCTAACAGTTGCTCTTTTTAAAGCTTTTAAAAATTGTTAAAGCCTAAAATTGTATCTTCCAAAGGTTCCCTCTTTAGTTTTTTACTCTTATGAGTCTAAACCTTCAATTTTTCGATATTAAAGCCCTTTTTTTCTGAGTGACATCTTCCTTTTTCTACATTTCCACTGTTTATTCACTCTCCCCAGGGTTTAGGTAAATCACTGTACCAGAGACTCATTTACCAGGAAATGAATGTCCAATCAACAAAAACTGTTGAATCTCTTCTGAAATGTTTGGATAGTGTTAAAACATGAATGGCTTTAAAATCTTTACATTTGAATGAGAAAAAGTTGGAAGTGATGGCTTTTCAAGGCACTTAGACAAGCCAACCATTACACCGGGGCTATCTGGATCAGTTTGTGAAGCCAATGGCCACAAATTTAGTTTTTAAAATGTACAATCATCTTATCTTTGACATTCAAATCAAAGCTGTTGTCAAATCCTGTTTCTTTCAGCTGTGGCAGTTGGCCAAAAATAAAGCTCAAGCTAAGCAAAGCACTCTTTGAGAGAGTGATCCAGACCTTTGTGACCACTCATTATTGTGATGCACTTTATTTTATTGTTAATAGATATTTAATTGCCCATGTGAGGACGGTTCAAAATGCTTCTGCACAACTTTTAACCTGGACAACTAAGTTTGAATCTCCTCAGTTTGAAGTTCATCCCACAGGCTGCTGGTCAATTTCTTTTAAGTCTTCAAATGGCCTTGCCCTACCAAATATCGCTCATCTCCTACACATCCTTATGTACCGCTTTGTACCCTTAGGTCAGTGGATCAGTTAATCCTGTAATTACCCAGAATGAGACGTAAACTTAGTGCGGTTTTTCCTGCAGCTGGACCTAGACACTGGAAGCCACTGCATATCAGGCAGGCTTCCTCTTTGACCATTTTTATATCTCTTTTAAAGTCTCATCTTTTCTCTCTGGCGTTTAATACTCAAAAGGATGTTAGTGTTTATTTTATGTTTTTTTTCTTTGACTTTGTTATAACTTTTTTACTTATTTATTTAATATTTTTATTCATCTTAGTGCATTTAATGGGGTTTGTATTTTTGCTTTTGAGCAGCACTTTGGTCCTATTGTTTTTTTGTTTTGGTGCGATATAAATAGAGATGGACTGAACTGGAATCTTCCATCAGGTTCCTGTTCTTATCTGATAGGAGTGGCACCCACAGAGGTTTTCTGCTGCTAAACCATCAGCCTCAAGGTTCGACATGTTGCACGTTCAGAGATGCTCTTCTGCATACTTTAGTTATAACAACTGGTTATTTAATTAAATTCTCGAACCAGTCAGGCCATTTTCCTCTGACCTCTGCCATCAACAAGATATTTGGATATTTTCTCTTTTTTTGGACCATTCTCTGTAAATCCTAGAGATTATTGTGCTTTAAAATCTCAATAGATCAGCAGTTGCTGAAATACTAGGACCAGCCCATCTGGCAACACCAACCATGTCAAACTCACTTAAATCACCTCTCTTCAGCATTCTGATGATTGGTTTGAACTGCAGCAGATTGTCCTGACCACGTCTACATGCCTAAATGCAAGTTGCTGCCAAGTGATTAGCTGAGTAGAAATTTGCATTCATGAGCAGTAACCCCGACCCTAATAAAGTGACAAGTAAGTATATTTTTTATTTGCTGCTAATGAAAGAAAACATGATTAACTCTAATGTGACCAACTGTACTGTACAGCTATATTTTATCTATTGTTTTAATAATACAAACAAACTATGACTTAATAATACCTTAAAACGTTTGGCTATATCTAAAGTTTCAGATGCAGCATTTCATATAAAAATCATTATGATAGTTGCTTTGTTTTTTGGGGGAAGTTCACATCAATTGAAGGGGTGAAGCAACCTTTACAAGAGCTGCAAACCCTCCCTCCTTGGGTTGGTGGAAACTTTAGAACACATAAAGTCATAAACTCATGTCAACCTGACCTGGCTGAAAGAGCTGCGCTCTGCAAGCTTCTCTCTGTTGATGCAGGCTTTCTCTCTGTACAATTCCTCTGATCTCCTGGTACCATACTGGCTGCCACTGTTCGCAGGCTGGCAGCTCGACCATAGCCTCTGCTCACAAACCAAGCTGAAAGGAAGTTTGGAATTTCTAAGGGAGGCTGGAGCGGACGGTCCGTGTTTGTACGGCACAATTTCAGAACCAAAATCTTCATCTGTCTTCAGAGTTCATCAGTCAAATATCCCTGACGTTTAATGACAGCTTTAAAAAGCCTTTAAAATACACATCTATAATTGGGCACTTAACATTAAAAATAACAAAGAGGACACAAACAGCAGAGTCTAGAAATATTTGACATCAATCTCGAGGCTGAAACCTGACCTCTCTTCTGCTTCATCAGACACATACAACTCTTCTCTCTTCTTTCCGTGGGAGTCAGGGATTTTCATTTGTTAAGCCATACTTTGCTCCTTTGTTGGTGCAGCAAATAGAAACACTTGACTACAGCTGATTTTCTTAAAGTGACAGTAAGGCTTTTTTTTTGAATGAGCCTTGTTGGAGTTATCAGCAGCTCTGTCTAGCCAAAACAAGGAGCTGTCTGAGTGACCTGAGAGTAGCGATTAGCTGCTGAAGAGCTGAACTAAATTAGTTGTGCTCCT